GGTGAGACGGACAATCACCAGTCGACACTCCACACTCAGAGGAGAGGTGAGACGGACAATCACCAGTCGATACTCCACACTCAGAGGAGAGGTGAGACGGACAATCACCAGTCGACACTCCACACTCAGAGGAGAGGTGAGACGGACAATCACCAGTCGACACTCCACACTCAGAGGAGAGGTGAGACGGACAATCACCAGTCGATACTCCACACTCAGAGGAGAGGTGAGACGGACAATCACCAGTCGATACTCCACACTCAGAGGAGAGGTGAGACGGACAATCACCAGTCGACACTCCACACTCAGAGGAGAGGTGAGACGGACAATCACCAGTCGACACTCCACACTCAGAGGAGAGGTGAGACGGACAATCACCAGTCGACACTCCACACTCAGAGGAGAGGTGAGACGGACAATCACCAGTCGATACTCCACACTCAGAGGAGAGGTGAGACGGACAGTCACCAGTCGACACTCCACACTCAGAGGAGAGGTGAGACGGACAATCACCAGTCGATACTCCACACTCAGAGGAGAGGTGAGACGGACAATCATCAGTCAATACTCCACACTCAGAGGAGAGGTGAGACGGACAATCACCAGTCGATACTCCACACTCAGAGGAGAGGTGAGACGGACAATCATCAGTCAATACTCCACACTCAGAGGAGAGGTGAGACGGACAATCATCAGTCGATACTCCACACTCAGAGGAGAGGTGAGACGGACAATCATCAGTCAATACTCCACACTCAGAGGAGAGGTGAGACGGACAATCACCAGTCGACACTCCACACTCAGAGGAGAGGTGAGACGGACAATCACCAGTCGATACTCCACACTCAGAGGAGAGGTGAGACGGACAATCATCAGTCGATACTCCACACTCAGAGGAGAGGTGAGACGGACAGTCACCAGTCGACACTCCACACTCAGAGGAGAGGTGAGACGGACAATCACCAGTCGATACTCCACACTCAGAGGAGAGGTGAGACGGACAATCACCAGTCGATACTCCACACTCAGAGGAGAGGTGAGACGGACAGTCACCAGTCGATACTCCACACTCAGAGGAGAGGTGAGATGGACAGTCACCAGTCGATACTCCACACTCAGAGGAGAGGTGAGACGGACAATCAATCAAACTGCTACCGGAACCATCGAAGCTGATACTCTCCATTGGCTGCTGAAGATGAACAAAACACATATAGGAATGCCATGAATGCAGTTATGTCAGTTCTTGAAATTCAACTCAAGAGGAATCACTTACATGACAAAAATAAGCAATTTAAAAACTGAATTACAATATAGAACTGAGAGACCTTACTATGAAAATATAAATTTGGAATAAAAACAATTCGATTTTTTTTTTCTAACAAGACGAAGACAATGAAAGAAATGCAGCACCATAAACATGAATGTTTTATTGTAAGTGAACAAACAAGGAAAAAACTCAACCAATATCTTCTAGAGACATTAAAGTTATAACACTAGCAAACTCAACAGAGGAGGTTGCTACTCTACAAAATTGCAGGCTGTTAAATATTTAAAACAAATTAACTATCAGCACAAGGATCAAACGAATAGCAAATGCAACAATTCACAAAAATAGTTTTTGTAAAGTTTGCACTGAAACATAGTTTCAACACAGGATATCTGACAAAATAATCAATCTGTGGCATCACTTCCTGTCTTCAAAAAGAGAATAATAGTTACTCCAATCCGACTCAGGATATCTGCCATAATGTTGCATCATTTTCCATCTTTCAAAACATACTCGTTATACGGTTAATTCAATCAAAAATTCCATTCTGGCACAAAGTTTTTCAAAATATGTGTAAGTATGTTTTGTTTCCCATAACTGTTAACTTTAATAACGCAGTCTCCTTTCTAAAACAAAGACATGTAACCTTCAGAAAAAATAAAGTGATATATACATTATATATATATATATTTTTTTTCTTTCTTGTTACTCTCAGCTTTAAATTTGTTAAAAATATAAATGATTATTTTGTTCTAAACCCCAAACAATTATCTCGCAAAGAAAAAAAAAATGAACTTAACAAGCAAAATGCGAATTCTCAATATACTCCCAGAACTATACATACAAAGTCAGACACTGGACTTCTTTATTCTGGAAAACAGAGAGAATTAACACAAAATAAAAAACATAAGATTCAAAAATTGATCGCAAACATATATTTACATCACATCTGAAAATGTGAAATAGTAAATTTAACAACCGCTGTTCTTTGTTTTTACTATCCAATTCACTATAAGGTCTGTAAAATAAACATACATTATTTAACACTTTATATACTTTCTAAAAAAATTAATTTAAAAAAAAATTAACCAGTGGAAGCAAATGAGGAAGAGTGATCAAGAAAATCTAACAGCAAACATGAAAAGCAAAAAATAAACCACTGCTTTAACACACCCAGTAATGTTTTATATAAATACACAGCATTTACCCCAAAAGAAACACACATATTTGCTCATTAGATAGAGGCAAGATCTTTCTTTTTTAAAATTATGTATACTTTGTTCTGCAACAATGGTAACATTGAGTATATTTAAAAGAAAATTATTGTTAGTTTTTGCTGCAATGATTAGTTATCAAGAGATGATAAGAAATTTAGTTTTCCTTATTTTCTGCCACTATTGCCAAATTGGGAATAATTAATTATGAATTAATATTAATTTGTGCTGCAATACCTGTGTTTCAGAAGATAATAAGGAAATTAGTTTTCTTTATTTTATGCAATGATTGCCAAGTTAAGACTAATGAAATGTTAACTGATATTAAATGGTGCTGTAAGGATTCTGTTTCAGAATATCAATAGACACAAATTATTTTTCTTGAAATTCTTCACATAAGTGTGGTCAAATTAAGTTTAATAAAAAGTGAAATGATATCAACTTGTTTTGAGACTAATTCTTTGCTTTAGAAGAAGATTGTTAAAGTGAAGGTTTTCTTGCACTTTAAGACAACTATAGTTCACTTAGGTATCATTAAAAGTCTGAATTGATATCAGATTGTCCTGTGACAATTCTGTGCTTCAGAAGAGCCTAGACAATTTTTGGCTAACAATATTTTGCAGCATGGTCAAAGTATATATAAAATTAACTGGCAGCTTGACTTCTGATGATTCTACATCTGTGATGATTCTATGTTTGTGACGATTATATGTTTGTGGTGATTATAATTGTTAACATTCTATATTTGTGATGATTCTATGTCTGTGACAATCCTATATCTGTGATGGTTCTATTTATGTAAAGATTCGATATTTCTCAGGATTCTATATTTGTGATGATTCTACATGTGTGAAGATTTTGTGTTTGTGACGATTTCGTATTTGTGACGATTCCATATTTGTGACAATTCTATGTTTGGGACAATTTTATACTTGGGACAATTCTATATTTGTGACAATTCTATATTTGTGATGATTCTATGTTTGGGATGATTCCCATGTTTGTGATGGTTCTATGTTTGTGATGATTCTATGCTTCAGAGGATCATTATAAAAAACATTATTCTTACAACTTTAAATTAGCCATCGCTGTGTATGTACAATAAAAAATACACATATTACACAAGTAGCTTATCAGAGTTGTGAGCTCTGTGTCGGTATGAATACAAATTCATCAGCTAAAATAGGGCCTATTATGAGATGCAGAAAAACATATCTGGCCTCAACATTTCCAAATTAAACTTATTTCTTTTCCTCTGTTAACTCTGTCAGGTCCAAGCAAAGTGTGTTGTACTTTTGCTATTCTTTTGAATCCTAGTCGTCAAGTAATTTGCATCTCTTTTTACAATTGGTCACAGCATACTGAAAAATCTGGCTTCTTCACTGGCCATTTCCATTGTGAGTTTAAGCCTCTCTCCCTCTTTATATCTTTTTTTTTTCTATTTCATCCCTAACATTGTAGCAAATCTTCTATTTCTATGTTGCTGTTTTTATATATTCTTTTTTTTTTTAATTTTATAAATTTATTTACAAATGATGCTTGTTTTACTTGGCTTATTACAATAATGTCATTTAGGCAACACACTGGACTTCTTCCTGGCATTTACTGTATAGGGAAAGCTGTGAAGCAAACATCCTGGCCATTTTGGCATGAAAGCAAATATGCTGTGCTGAATCCACTCCACAATGTTTTCTTGGGGTGGGGTGGGGGGGGGGGGGGTGCGTGTACACTTGTGTGTCTGGGAGGGGGGGGGGGAATAGAATCACTATGCTCTAACAAGCATGTTGTAAAAGGCCACCAATTAGGGGCTTGCTAAAACTGGAAGTGTTAGACCAAAAGGTACAATCACCTCTCCTACATATGGTGAGCCTCTCATGACTGTCTATGCCAATATTTACTCTGATTCTGTGCAGTGATGCAGCAACAGTGCCCCCGAAATCCTCCAAATGTCCCTCTCTCCAAGGGCATTAACAATGTCTGCACGATTCACAGGTTGGCCATCGGTAACTATGGCAGAACCATGCAACCTATTAGCTTTTTCACCGCTAGCAAGGCCTATCATTTCCTGATTTATATTTCTTGGACAGAACTGAAATTAAATTATTGCTTTTTTTTTCCATGTTCCCCATGTATACAGTACCTGCTGATATTATTATTATTACTGCCTTTATTCTTTTTTGCTTTCATTTGCAATTATGTTATACTAACTTTTAAATCAAAACTCGTCATTTTTTTTTAATACATTGTGAAAAAGTCCTCTTTGTGATACATAACTAAAGAAAGAAAGTGTTTTTTTTTTAAAATGAATGTTATGTTTTAAACAAAACTGTCTGGCATTCATCTTAAGCACATCCTTCCCGTTAACACCATTTTCTGAATGAAGCCACATCTAAAAGTTTTAGAAACACAAAAATAATGGGAAAGCTGGTTATATGATGAAAGATCCAAAGCAGCTGTGCAGAGCAGATGTTGATTGGCACTGAAAGCAGGGGAATGAGCAGACTAAGAGTTGGTTTCACCTTGGACCGGTGGAACTGTGTATCGAGTTCACTGTATTGGCTCTTCGTGTGTGGACTTGTCGCTGGCGGGCTAGAAATGATTGGCCCACGGAACTGTTGGCCAGACGCTCTTCTGCTGCCTGTCGATGTAACTGCATGCCCTAGAGAAAGTAAACAAGAAAATGTACTCATGCATTTGTCTTTGTTTATATCTTTTTCTTCTTCGGCTGCAAACCCTGGTGGAAAGTTCAGCTTTAGTTTTGTTTAAGATCTTGAGTTTTTGCGTGCACATCCATTTTAAAGATCTGGCTTATTTCATGTATGCAGACTGTTTGGTTCCTTCATCTCAGGCAGATGCACTTTAACTTCAAAGGAAACACTTATAATTAGTCACTTTTTATGACAAGCTTGTTAGCGGAGCAGCAACCAATTCCCCCCACCCCCACCCCAATGGAGCTTATGAGGCTACACAAAAACATGTTTATATCAGTTCTAAAGAATATTAAATATTTACGTGCATTTCATGAAATAAAGAATATTCTATGCAACCGTTGGCATCTTTGCGTCTTTCCAGAAGATAATCCTAGATCATAAAAGTTAAAAGAGTAAAGTTGAGAAGATCGACTTCATTGCACCGGGTTTTATCCCATATGGCTCGATCTCTTTCCGCAAAACTGCTAGCAGAGCATGAACTCTGTAGATCGGGTGACAATCCCCAGGGTTCTCCTTAAATATTGCACTTGAGAACTGAAGAGCACAGTCATGAAATGATCCCATGACTTTCAGAGTGCGAGGCAAATGGCTCGACTACTTCCCCAAGGAGTAGATGAACAGCTGTCTTTTGTTTTTTATTTCCACGACTAATTTAAATTAAGGCTAGGGATAAAGTTGCTTCCTCTTGAGATTTATGGCTGGCTTTAGTTCTAATCTTGTACACGTTTTTTTAACTTGTAATTTACATCTTATCTGGCTACTTGAAATGTATGGCTAGATTTAGTTCTAATCTTATACACATTTTTTTAACTTGTAATTTATATCTTATCTGGCTACTTGAAATGTATAGCTGGCTTTTGTTCTAATCTTGAACACATGTTTTTTTTAATTATAATTTATATCTTATCTGGCTACTTGAAATGTATGGCTGGCTTTTGTTCTAATCTTGAACACGTTTTTTCAACTTATAATTTATATCTTATCTGGCTATTCCAGCGGTTCTTTGAGTTATCTCAGCTCTACTGTCATGTAAGGGTCCCTGTTTGGCACCAGGAACTTAAAATCAGTTAAAATGGTTCTTATATGATTTGCACTGGCAGACATAAGTATCAAAGAGCTGCTGGCTGGATGGTTAAGAAAATTGGACTCTCACGAAGAGCTGGATTCAAATCTTCTGTAAGGTTATGGATTTTTCTTTCAGGGGTTGGAAAAACCGAATCCTAACCTGCACAGTCAGTGGCAACTGCACTAGCCATGAGGCCCTTAGTCCTCAGGCTCACCCCTCTTTCCCCTTTTCCACCCCTATGACACAACCCTTAAAAGTAGTAAATTCAGTAGTAGTGACAGTTTTTGACATACACAGCTATCCTAGCTGTAATCCAACCAGTAATGACAGTTTCTGACAGACGTATGAATCAGTCTATGTGTAATATTAAGGACATAACAATATATATATATATATATATATATATATATATATATATATATATATATATATATATATATATATATATATATATATATATATATATATATATATACATATATATACATACATATATAATAGTTAATCCTCTGTATAGTAAAGAGGCAGCAAACAATATGGAGATCTAAAAACATTTCATGCAAAACTAAGATTCGACTGCTCAGAGCACTAGCTAGAAGTACATGTACATATGGTTGTGAAACGTGGACCTTAACAGCTGAACTTGAAAGCAAGATACAAGCATTGCAAATGTGATGTTTCAGAAAAATTCTTGGCATATCTTACAGAGACTACATTACAAATGAAGAGGTTTGCCATATAATTATACAGCACTTTGGCAACCATGAACATCTTTTAACTTCAGTGAAAAGGTGAAAATTGCAGTGGTATGGACATGCAATAAAACCTAAAGGCCTCTCAAAAACAATACTGCAAGGCTCAGTAGAGGGAAAGAGGAGAAGAGGCAGACCAAAAAAGACCTGGTTTCAGAACCTGACTGACTGGACAGGCTTCAGGCATGCAACCATGAAGTCCATCGCAACTGACCGCCAAAGGTGGAAAGAGCTGATCAGACAGTCAACAGAAACTGATGACCCAACGACCCGCATTGTTGCGGAATGATGATGATGATGATGACAATAATGATAATAGTAAAGAGATACAGCAACTTACCAGATTATACCAAGCAGTGACGATTAATTTCTCTTCTTGGTCTCTCACAGACCTCATCTTTTCTTGGTCTTTCTGTTATACAAGGTGTTTAAAAATTTTAATATTTAATTGCTATTGCATACTTTTAAAAAGTCTACGTACTTAAAAAAAATTACTCTTCTTGTTCTTACATTCACTTGAAATAGATTATCTATATCTGCAATGTTGTCTCTAGTAATGTTGTCTCTAGTATGAATGTTACTGTCTGTTGCAATTCACCCAGTGACTTGTAAAGTTTGGCATGCGCCGGTGTTTCTCTTGGTCAAAAGTTCTGCCCTGATACGTTGTATTTGGAACAGTCTTTTAAGACATGATCAGTTGTCTCAGGTGCCAATCCACACGAAAACACAGCTGACTAAATTTTGTGTCCAAGCGGCTGCAAACTTGACTGTGTTCTGTTCAAAGGCATCGAATAATGACTTCCTCTGGTCTGCCCATAATATGGTAATCGTCTTGTGCCAGTTTTGGTGGATTTCTGATTGATTGGATTATTCTCTACTTTTGTTGATAAGAGACTAAAAATAAAATAAAAACTACTGTTATTGCACTTCTACGAGTAGTGACTAGACTCCTGCTTGGGCACTCAAAGGTCTTGGGATCAAATCCACATACAGTCAGATTCGTTTGTTATTGTTTCAAAACTGACCCTAGCTTCCAGGAAGACTCAGCCTAAACAAGATATCAGATCATGACATGGAAAGTAAAGATGACCAGTGTGTTGTTGACCACATCACAAACAAAGTGCCCATTAGTCTACGTGTTCAGAAAAAAACTGTAATGATATGCCTGATTAACAAGAATCCGTTAATGTGTGCCTAAAATGCTGTTTTCCGAAAATTTACAAACTGCTTTCCCTGTGTCTATGGTTCAAGCACTGTGAACGCACTTTGTAATTCCAAAGTGCCGGGTTCATTCTAGCTGCGAGCGATTGGGCAGCAGATCGCCTTGTGTTGGTTTCGACAGTGATATTGAGAGCCAACTGCTCAAAAAGTACAGACAAACTACTGAATGTATAACTGTCTGTGAAATCACAACCAGCCACACACAACAAATGCTGGGGTTGGTTCTGCAATGTACTGTAAAGGATACAGAACAAACTTTTCCCCAAGTAGCCCCCATAAATGTAGAATATAGGCAGAGCAATGTAGGAGGAAAAACTGATAATTAAGCAGTCAAAAAACCATTGTTACAGTGCTTTCTACCAGTGCTTTTTCCCTGTTCCTTGCTCAGTCGCTTCATTTCCGGCTCATATGAGTCTTTCTTCTTCGCGTTCACCTGCTGTGAACTCTGGTGTAAATTTCTGGTTGTCTGTCCACCTCTGGACTTTAGTCTTGTTTCAGAACTGGAGTGTTGCTTGCACATCTGTTTAACAGATCTGAATTGTATGCAGATTGTTGCTTCTTTGCCTCTCAGGCAGATGCACTCCGATTTCAAAGGAAGGCCCCAGTTAGTCAACTCCTATGACATGCTTGTTGGGGAGGCAATGGGCCTATTCTTGTTTTTCTCACAATAGGGCTCCAGAACCGACACAGGAAGCTCACAGTAGTGAACCCAGATTACACCTCCAGTAAAAATTTTTGATAGGAAACAATTATCTTCTGTTTCAAAGCACCGCAAAAGTTCCTGACAAGCATCAACCTGTCGTTGTTTCAATTACGGAGTAAGCTGCTATAGCTCCCAGCTTGCAGACATTTCTTGGTACTGTAGCACATCAAGAATTTTGTGGTGTGCTGAACTTTTACTGTTGTCAAGATGTGAGGCAACGTCACTCAGACAAAAGAGGGTTTTACCGTACAAGACCTTCAACAGATACAACTGACTCTAGGGTCACTACTTGGTATGCCAGACCCGCCCGATCAGGAACAGTTGGCCACAGAAGTCGCACCGTTCTGAACTTTACTCATACACTTGCTGGACTGACAGGCATGCACCAACATAATGGACATTCATTCGTCGATAATTTCTATAGGTTTCACCGCTTCACTGATTTAAGAAAAAAAAAATAACACTGCTCCTCTTTAGTTCATTTCAAAAGTGGGACGGCCTTCTTTAAACTGTCATTATAATGATGTCACTGTGTTTGTCTGCACCATGATTTCATGTGCGTAACACTCCTGGCATCCTTAACCACAATACTGACAGGTTACAAGGCAATGACATAGTTATTGTAATTTGTATTATACTTTTAAGGCTTCTATTTGAAGCCCACTCGTGTGTGTGTGTGTGTGCACGTGCGTACACACTCATGTTTATATATATATATTGTTATTCGTCTATCACAAGTGATGAGCACCACCCTTTCTTTCCTCCTTGATGAAACTATAGCTGACTGTGGGTCCGGAGGCCCAATTATAAGCCCAAAATGGACCCAGAAGGATCGAGGACAATAAAGGGAACAGTATCTGTAGATAAAGGGCCCGTAGTACGAGTTCTTCTGCCTGTCTGTGCTGTTCAGCTGCCCTTTTCTAAATGCCTCGCAAGACGCTGAGCCTCTTCAGATAGATGTTCACTACAGTCTTGTGCAGCAGCCTTCCAAGTGTCAGGGTGTATATTAAAGGCCTCAAGTAATGCCTTTAGCATGTCCCTGAAGTATTTTTTCTTTCTTTCTGGCCACCATTAAAACATCTACCTTCTTGTATCTCACCATAAAAGACTACTGATGGTCTGGCAAGAGGACGAGATGACCCGCCCATCAAATCTGTGACTGCATCAGGATGGTATCAATGCTGGGAACTCCAGCTCTATGCTTTACAACAGTATCCAGGATACCAAATATACATATATATAAAACATAAGACCATTACTACAGTATGCTCCAGTATGTATCTCCCCACAGTGTGGCCAAAGAAAGTTCACCTAACAACAGTGCTCAAGTGTCATTATTCTGAACAATGACATGAAGACAGAAACCAGCTCACCTCAAGGAATTTGATGTATGTATCTCGATCTTGTAACTGGGCCTTCAACGTCAATAATTCTGCAGACGATTCAGAACTTTGCCTTGGGTCTAAACTCTTTATCACCTGTGGACCAGTAGAAAACATTAACTTACCAATGTTTATAGATAATAGCATTTATTTAAAAAAAAAAAAAAAAAAGTTTCAATGTTTGCTTTCTCAAAATATTTCCAAGATGGTTTCAGCTCAGATACAAGAAACTCTGTAACACCGAAGAAAATCAAAATATTCAGGTGAGAAAATGTGTGGCCAAACATGAAAACTATATAGGCAGCCAAAGAAGAATAGTAAACCAACATAGAACTGGTATTATCATTCGCCACTGGCTGAGGGAGATATTGAAGATGGGATGCGAGCGCTAATGGACTTGTCCGCTGTCCAATGAGGATAATGTGTTGAATAACTAACTAGCTTTCTCAAAATATTCTTCTGACTGCCCATGCTGAGTTGTATTGGTAATCATGATTGTCTACAACCTTCTGTCTCACGTCTATGCTGAATTGTATTGGTAATCATGATTGTCTACAACCTTCTGTCTCATGTCCATGCTGAGTTGTATTGGTAATCATGTTTGTCTACAACCTTCTGTCTCATGTCCATGCTGAGTTGTATTGATAATCATGATTGTCTACAACCTTCTGTCTCATGTCCATGCTGAGTTGTATTGGTAATCATGATTGTCTACAACCTTCTGTCTCATGTCCATGCTGTGTTGTATTGGTAATCATGATTGTCTACAACCTTCTGTCTCATGTCCATGCTGTGTTGTATTGGTAATCATGTTTGTCTACAACCTTCTGTCTCACGTCCATGCTGAGTTGTATTGGTAATCATGATTGTCTACAACCTTCTGTCTCATGTCCATGCTGAGTTGTATTGGTAATCATGATTGTCTACAACCTTCTGTCTCACATCCATGCTGTGTTGTATTGGTAATCATGTTTGTCTACAACCTTCTGTCTCATGTCCATGCTGTGTTGTATTGGTAATCATGTTTGTCTACAACCTTCTGTCTCATGTCCATGCTGTGTTGTATTGGTAATCATGTTTGTCTACAACCTTCTGTCTCATGTCCATGCTGAGTTGTATTGGTAATCATGTTTGTCTACAACCTTCTGTCTCATGTCCATGCTGAGTTGTATTGATAATCATGATTGTCTACAACCTTCTGTCTCATGTCCATGCTGAGTTGTATTGGTAATCATGATTGTCTACAACCTTCTGTCTCATGTCCATGCTGAGTTGTATTGGTAATCATGATTGTCTACAACCTTCTGTCTCACGTCCATGCTGAGTTGTATTGGTAATCATGATTGTCTACAACCTTCTGTCTCACGTCCATGCTGAGTTGTATTGGTAATCATGATTGTCTACAACCTTCTGTCTCACGTCCATGCTGTGTTGTATTGGTAATCATGATTGTCTACAACCTTCTGTCTCACGTCCATGCTGTGTTGTATTGGTAATCATGATTGTCTACAACCTTCTGTCTCATGTCCATGCTGTGTTGTATTGGTAATCATGATTGTCTACAACCTTCTGTCTCACGTCTATGCTGTGTTGTATTGGTAATCATGATTGTCTACAACCTACTATCTCACGTCCATGCTGTGCTGTATTGGTAATCATGATTGTCTACAACCTACTGTCTCCTGATTTGTCAATCAGACTGGCTGGGAATTAGGCTTAAATTGATAATCCTAGGTCTCAGTTTTGAGTAGCAGAAAAATGGAAGCAAAAGTTATTGCAAAGAAAAAATGCAATATCAAAGCAAATGGGACAAGTAGATATATTTACAGTAGCTTGGTTATCCTGATAACAGCAGACGTAAAGATAAAATACAAATGCGGTGTGAAAAATGAGTGTTTAAAAGGGCTGAATGTAAGAAGGGGCTGCGTGCCAAATTTGTGACCCTCTGAAATCTGTTTGTTCGTTCATTTTCATTTGTTAGCCTTTCTTACTCAGGTAGGTCTACCTCTACATGGTGGAGCCTGTTCTCCCCATGAATCCAGTGGAAGATATAGGGTTCCAACCCCCAGCAGAAAATTGGATGGGACAATCAATGAGGCAAAGGCGAAATATGGTTCAGTCAGCTAGCTATTGAGCTAAGTGCATGGTGTTACACTGTGAGCTGGAATTTCTATGTGGAATACTTCTTCTCTACATTCACTGTCTATAAACTCTGATGGAAGGTTCTGGTTGTTCATTCAACTCCAGTTTTACAGATCTGGCTTATCTGTATCGCAGATTGTTGGTCCCTTACTCTGACTTCAAAGGATGTCCCTGATTAAACGACGTGCTTGTTGGGGACGCAGTGGCTCTGTTCTTGTTTTCACCACAATGGGGTCCCGGAACCCACAGGGAGAAAAAGGAATGCTTACTGTCTATACTCCCACAGACAGGTGTTGTAAACTGCTTATTTTGAAAATTGCGAGTGGCCGTTTGCAACAAAACTTACGATGAATCTTTGACCTATCAAAGAAACAAACAACGGTGAATGGAAAGAGAAGCAACAATGAAATTCATAATCTGTTTAAATCACCACTGATCACTGCCATCATGAGAGCTAATAGACTGAAATAGTTGGGGCATATTGAAAGAATGTCAGATGACAGAAGTAAAAACTGTATACACGAGGGAGATAAATGGTCGTAGACCACTAGCAAGACCAAGAAGATGATGGAGAGATAATGTCCAGACAGACCTGCAAACACATGGTGTCACCAACTGGAAAGAGAAGGCTAACCAGACAGATAAATGGAGGCGGGTGGTATCTGCAGCAATGAACCTCAAGGGCTCGGAATGCTGAAGAAGAAGAAGATTGTTCTTTAACAAAGACACTGTTCAAAGGGATACTCACTTGTTTTGCTTTCTCTAGGTATTTTCGATACTTTCCCTCCATTACTCTGATTTCTTCATCTTTCCTTGCCAACTGCTCAGTTAGATCCATGACTTTTTCATTGCCACGGGTCAAGTGGACATTGAGCTCATCTATTTGTGCCTGTTTCTGTTTCAGCTGTCGCTCCTTCTCTTCTAGCTTCAGCTCTGCTTCAGTTAGCTTTCTTTTCGTGGAGACAAACTCTGAGCTGCTAGCAGCAGTTGCAGACTTTTCATTCTCCTGAAGGTCTTCTAAGGCAGCTTTGACTTTCATCAACTCCTGATTCAGCAATCTGAAACATACAGCAAATTATTAGCTTCAACTCACTGTGTGGGTTCTGGGGTCCTATGGGGAAAACAAGAATAGATCCACTGCCTACCCAAAAGCATGTCGTTTAAGTCGACTAATTGGGAGCTTCCTTCAAAGTCGGATTGCATCTTCTTGACAGGCAAGGAACCAGCAATCTGCATACAAATGAGTCAGATCTGTAAAACGGATGCACACGCAACACTCAGGTTCTGGAAAGCCCCTGCAGTCCAGAAGTGGACGAACAACCAGAACTTTCCACCAGAGTTTACAACAGGTGAACGCGAAGAAGGTCGTAGAAGATTAGCTTTAACAGTGCCTACTATAAACATTTAGGTAAAGCAGCCTTTCTACATCGGGCAGATGATGCAGACATATTTTCTTAATTGCCTGTGAACCCTTCTGCCCTATAACAATCTAAGAAGAAAATGATCTTTTCCCAAATCTCCTCAAAAAGAAATGCATTTTTATAATTCTCTCAAGCTCCGCTCTCAGAAAACTAGAGAAGAAGAGAAGAACAAGCAGAAACATTCTAGAGTTTTAGTTAGTTTTCACAAACAGCCAGGAGAGCAAAACCTACAACCACCAAGCTAACAAGCAAGTCGGAAGGCCATCTGCTTCACTGTAGCTATCAGGTCGCTCAAAAAAAAAAAAAAAAAGATTATTTTTTAAATCACTATTACTTTTTACTGCAAAGGATTTTATTTTTTAAATGAAGGGAGGTCATAACTAACAAACAAAGCAAAATAAAATTAACTGCATTCACTTTCTTTAAACAAGAAAAATGTTTTTGTTGACATAGTCATAGGAAATAAATGTGACGTTACTATGTGGCTATTATGACAATTTACACTACAGTTAAAAAAAAAAATATACCTATTTTTGGTGGGTTTAAATTGCTGTTTTCTTTACCCCAAATAACATCTCAAATTATTTCACTAATAAATATAATCATACCACGTCTATACACTCTGCAGTTCCAACCAGTACCAAAGCTGTTATATAGTGGCCCCTGCCCCAAGATGTCATGTCATCTAAAACCCATAAATGTCACAAAACTGGCTTACACAGGGCGACTGGGATAAGGGACAGTGGTTCTATTCTTTTATTTCCCCCCCCCCCCCACCCACCCTAAATTAGGACCGCGGAACCCACAGAGGGAGCTGAGTTAAAAAAAAAAATAACTCCTAAGTGTGAAACAATCACAGCAGTTTTCCAAATACACAACTTCCACTGATGTTTCTGCTATTTAAAACACACACACACAAAACACACAGTAAAAACACACACACAAAACACACAGTAAAAACACACACACAAAACACACAGTAAAAACACACACACAAAACACACAGTAAAAACACACACACATAACACACAGTAAAAACACACACACATAACACACACAAAACACACAGTAAAAACACACACACAAAACACACAGTAAAAACACACACACAAAACACACAGTAAAAACACACACACAAAACACACAGTAAAAACACACACACATAACACACAGTAAAAACACACACACAAAACACACAGTAAAAACACACACACATAACACACAGTAAAAACACACACACAAAACACACAGTAAAAACACACACACAAAACATACACACAAAACACACACACAAAACACACACACATAACACACAGTAAAAACACACACACATAACACACAGTAAAAACACACAGTAAAAACACACACACAAAACATACACACAAAACACACACACAAAACACACACACAAAACAGGCAGTAAAAACGTAAAGGAACCTTGTTACGCCAGTGGGCATATGATACTACACTCAGATTTTAGAGACCAATTGGCACTCGGTGAGTCAGTGCTCAGCGTCACACCAGCACTTTGCAGGCTGGGTAAACCTAAAAATCTGACTCAATGTGCATTTCTTCTTCCTCTACTTTTTCTTCACGGCTGTTACACCGGAAGAAAGCTCTGACTGTTTATCCACTTCTGGACTTTAATCTTGTTCTAGAATTTGAGTGTTGCGTACACATCCATTTTACAGAACTGGTTAATCTGTATGCAGACTGTTGGTTCCTTGCCACTCAGGCAGATGCACTCCAACTTCGCAGGAAACCCTTAAATAGTCAACTCTTACAATATGCATGTTAGGAAGGTAGTTGTAGTCTATTCTTGTTTTCCTCCATAATAGGGCCCCAGAACTCAAACAGGAAAATGTGGATTCAAACTCATAATCTTCAGGCCAATAGGCAGGCATCTAGCCCCTATACTACTACAGCACCCATCTATTAGGCTTTAAATAATTGTAATGCTCACCTGACATCTGTCTCCAGTTCATTCTTCTTGGCATTCGCCTCATCCAGAAGATCAGCATTAACAAGCGCTTGCTCATCAAGACCAGCAGATGACCCCATCTTCAGCATCTTATTCTCATGCTCCAGCCTCAACAACCTCTCTCTGCAAAGACAGTTTAAAATGCTTACTGACATGAATATACCTGGTTTAAAATCTGTGCTGGCATTTCTTGAATATACTGTTGCTAATTATTTATGGCAGCAAACATTTGGTTTAAAATCTGTGCTGGTTTTTCTTCAATGTACAGTTGCAAAATATTTATGACTGCAAACAAGATACTTTCAAATGTTGGCAAGTATTTCTTGAACATACTATTGCTAAGTATTTATTGCTGCAAACTCAAACTTTCAAATGTCTGCTGGTATTTCTGAATATACTATTGCTAAATATTTATGGCTTCAAACTCAAACTTTCAAATGTTTACTGGCATTTCTTGAGTATACTATTGCTAAATTTTTATGGTTGCAAACACAAACTTTCAAATGTTTGCTGGTATTTCTGAAAATACTATTGCTAAATATTTATGGCTGCAAATACAAACTTTCAAATGTTTGCTGGCATTTTTTGAATATACTATTGCTAAATATTTATGGCTGCAAACTCAAACTTTCAAATGTTTGCTGGTATTTCTGAATTTTCTATTGCTAAATATTTATAGCTGCAAACACAAACTTTCAAATGTTTGCTAGCATTTCTGAATATACTATTGCTAAATATTTATGGCTGCAAACACAAACTTTCAAATGTTTGCTGGCATTTCTTGAATATACTATTGCTAAATATTTATGGCTGCAAAATCAAACTTTCAAATGTTTGCTGGCATTTCTTGAATATACTATTGCTAAATATTTACGGCTGCAAACAAATAATTTAAAATGTTTGCTGGCATTTCTGAATATACAATTGCTAAATATTTATGGCTGCAAACACATAATTTCAAATGTTTGCTGGCATTTCTGAATATACTATTGAAAAATATTTACAGTTGCCAACATACTTTCAAATGCTTGCTTACATTTCTTGAACATGTAATTGCTGTCATCTGAAAAAACAAACGCACACATGCATGCATGCACCCCCCATCCTCCGCAACATACATAAACTCACACTATACACATATATACCCATAAGCATAAATATATATACTCGTACATACACACTTGCTAAGCAAGATTTGTTCACTACTTTGGACTATGAATCTGAAACCTTAACCAGGCAGAGAAAAAAAGTCCAAAGGAGTGAAACCAGACAAGAACCCTATTCAGGAGGCCAAAGCAGAAAAGTAAACCAACACAGAGCTGGTATCTCTGTCACCACACACTGAAGGATATACTGAGGAGGGGTTCTGATCGAGTATGGGGGCCTTCAACAGCAGCAAAGTACAGTAACACTTTAACCCAACATGTATGTCAGATGAGGCGACTGTTTACAAAAAAGAAGAACAGGGAGCAATTGTTTATACAGAAGAAACATTAGAGGTAACTGTACAGAAAAGAAAAAGGGTGACAAACACAAAAAGAAGAGAGCTAAGAGTGAACTGAAAAAGATGGAGAGGACATGGGGTGAGTTGCATCCAACAGCAAAGAGTAGGATAACGTGGCATGTGTTGGTTGACAGCTTATGCTACATTAGGAAGATAATGGGCAGAAAGTTGATGTTTCAGGAGGAAAAGCTGAATCAGCAAACTTGAAAAGACCACAAGAACTTTATGTCAACAGAGGTTTTGCCAAACATGAAGAATAATGAACTAACATGGACCTGGTGTTATCAGTCACAACACGCTGAGGGAGATAGTGAAGATGGGACCAAAGCACTTATGAACTTGTCCAAAGAGAATAATTTGTTGATTAACTAAACAACTAACTATGGAAGAAGAAGAAATGAAAAATGCAAGAGATCACAAATAAAACTACAAAAGACAGCGTGATTTTTTTTTTATTTATTCACATGCTAAATTGGACAATGAAAGCTAGAAAAATACAAAATGTAGCCACATGGAAGAACTTGCAAGCCAAATATCAAACTTTTTCTAGAAAATGTGTTTGGAACCATGGTGGCACAGTAGCTAGTTGCTTGCCTGCCAGCCAGAAGATCTTGGTTTTGTGTCTTCTTCATGAGTCCCATTTTGGGGGAACAAAGAATAGACCCACTATCTCCTGACAAGCATGTCCCAAAATATAATTATGGGCGTTTCCTTTGAAGCTGAAGTGCATTTATCTGAGAAGCATTGAACCAACAGTCTGCAAACAAATAAACTAGATATGTTAAACAGATGTGCATACATAACCCAAGTTCTCATAAATAAGTCGATGCATGGTGTCCGCCTCGAGTGCTAGAGGTTCCAGGTTCAATCCCCAGTAGGGGTTTTTGATTTTTTCACGTGGACTAGGACTTCAGTAATTCGCCCATGTCTCTGGGTAGTAAGATCGGACGCCCGTGTGCATTGTTGTGTACAGAAATAAATCCATTGGCAGTTGGAAATCTAAAAGAGCAGCCTAACGGCGCTGCCCGGGCAAAAATTTGCAGCTAAAAATCTACCCAAAGTATCTCAGGATCCTCACTGCTGCTAGAGAGCCTGTGCACTGTGCTGAGCTTCTTCGGACTCAGACTTGAGTTAGAAGAAGAATGGAGCACTTATGGGTTACTATCCGTTTACCATGATGTTGATCCGTTGTTCAAACTTCATAAATAAGTCATGCTTAAAGACACAGGAACCTTGTTTCAGGAAGATAGACATCTTAAAGAACAGAAACCCCCCACTTAGACCAAAAATAAGAACTCAGACATGTTCAGAAATGACATCAACACATACAGTTAGAGACAATAAGCCACAACCACTGGCATAACAAACCATTTATGCCTTGAACCAGACCATATTTAGATATTGTCAGAACTAACTGTGAGTACACGAGACAGGAGGTTGTGGATAAGACATGACTACCAATGCCAGTTGGATTTAACTATAAACGGGCTATTCAACTAAGTTTGCTCAGGGGCTAAAAGTTGGGGATCATTACAGGCCAGAGGCCTAAGCCCCAACGTAGAAAGATCATTAATACAATACCATGGGTAATGATCCGCGGGCCACTTCTTAGGGCTTTGCGGGCCACATTTAGCCCGCATGCTGTTAGTAGAGTAGCCCTGGACTGTGAGAAGAAGATTAGTAACGTTATTATCTGGTGGGGAACATCTCATACAATGTGTGTGTGTGTGTGTGGTGGGGGGGGGGGAACTCATACTGTGTGGAGAAAAAGAAAACATCTTACTGTGTGGGGAAAAAAACACATCTTACTTGATCTCTGGTGTTAGTGACAACATCTCAGCAACATTAGAACTTTCCAGATCCCCAGGCAAACCTAGACCAGACGTCTGCAGCTGGGTACATTTGAGCTCATCATTCATTTCCCTCAGGGAATCCCTCTCTGTCTGTATTCTCTGTTTATTCATACCAATCAAGTCCGATTAAATAATAGGGGTTATCAATATTAGTAAAAACAACATTACATTTTGAGTTGAGTTGAGTTGAGTCGAGAACTGACATCACAGCACTCGGGGCATTTCCATGTGTGCTCCGTCCTCTCTCTTTAGCAGCCAGCTCAGAGTTCCAATACTGATAATACCAGTCAAAATCTGGCTATATGTCCGTCTTGTCTTTCCTCTGAGTGTAGTGAGCCGGCCAGACTCTCTGGTTACACCTAGGTGCCTCATTCTCTCCAGGCCATAATAATCTTGTTTCTCTACTGCATCAATCTCACCAGACTGTGGTGATCCATCTGCTCCTCCGAACTGTACATGCTTTCCCACAAGGTCTAACCATGTCTGCCTTATCATGCATCAGTATTCCACCAAGTTGTGCAGAGCCAGCCAGTCTGTCCGCCTGTTCATTTCCCAACACACCGGCGTGCCCTGGTGAAAAAATACTCACCTGTGTCCGCCGCAGTGAGGCATACAATCTGCACGAAGCATGCCTGTCCTGATCTTCCTCAGCATGGTTTCTGAATCAGTTACAATCACGATGTGTGTCTACTTCCATTCTCAAGCTGGACGTTGTGGTATTGTATGCTAGGCTCTCCTACACCAAACGTCAACCATTAACTTTTGCTAAGAAGCCCCAAGCACTTCTTTTGCCTCTTGACACTGAAACGTCTGTGTAAATTATCAAATCCTCTGAGCGAGCATTATCTTAAATGCTGAATTTCCACCTCTGTGGCACCTGCTGGCCAGTCTCTGCATTACTGGCTCAGTGTGATTATGACCCTACACAAGTGTGACTGTTCAGGTAATACACACTATGCGACGAGTAACACACATTTTTTTCAAGAGATTTTGTGGTGACTGCTGGCGCCATTTTATGTAGGGTAAAAAAGGTCCTTTCCATGCCTCTTGTATTTTCATACCCAAACTGCCTTCAATATGCTGCATCCACCTTTGTTCTGGCGACTCCCTGGGAATCGCAAGGCATTTTGCAAATTCTTAAAATAATATTCATATTGTTAGCGCACTCTGTAATCACCTTCTTCTTCTTCTGTGTTCGCCCTTAAAAGGGGTGGTTGGCATGTTGTGTTGTTGTTTACAGCTAGGCTGCACCATATGCACGTTCAGCCCAATCCCTCCAATTTCTGCAAACCCTTAATCATTCACCTGTTATGACACACTAGTCACAGGGCAGTGGGTCTATTCTTTTTCCCCACCAAAACTGGACCATAGAATCCATGCAGGGAATACAGGATCTTCTTCTTCTTCATGTTCACCAGCTTTAAACTGTGGCGGAAAGTTCTGGTTATTTATCCACTTTCAGACTGCAGTCCTGTTCCAAAACCTGACTATAATAACCAAACTGTTACCTCTTTTTCTCGATGTAATGTTGCCAGCTTCTCTTGCATTCTTTTAAATTCAAATTCAGCTTTGTCAGCCCGTTTAGTTTCTTCTGCCATCTTGCTCTGCAATTCCAGTGTCTGTCTTTTGTAGGATTCCAGCTGTTGTTTTAGAGTTACCACCCTTTTCAGCTCCTGGAAATTTAAAAAAGAATCAATCAATCAGGTGCCATCTCCATGAAGAAGGTTCACTATAATCAATATTTAATACTCACTGTCTTTGGTATTGGCTGCAAACACTATGAAGCTGCTGTTTGTCCCTCTTCATGTTATTTTCCTATTTATAATTTTGAAACATTGAAAAACAAAGATTCAAACAATATATTAGTTACCTGTGTAAAATAGTTTTGGTGTTTAGTTTTTTTTTTTTTTTTGTAAAGAACCTTTTCCCCCTGGAAATTCTGTGGGGTATACTGTTCTCTACTATATATTTCAAAACAAAAATTTTAAAACGTAGATAAATAAAGTTTCAAACAATATATTAGTTACCTGTGTAAAATTTTTATTTTTATTTTTTTGTTAAAGAATCTTTTTCCCGGAAATTCTCAGGAGTATACTGTTGTTCCCTACTATATATTTCAAAACAAACATTTTTAAATGCAGATAAAAAAAGTTTCAAACAATTTTTTAGTTACCTGTGTAAAACAGTTGTTTCAGTTAAAGGATTTCTTTTTTTTTTCCATAAATTCCCACGGGTATACTGAGTGTTACTACAATTTAATTTGTATTTTCTCCTCTTCTTATCTTCAGCAAATGCATCTGAGCGGCTTTCTGAGCCTGTCCTAGAATCACCAGTCCTAGAATCATCTATCTTCTTCTATTCTCTACTCCTGGACTGCTTTGCGGCGTCAGGGGAGGAAGAGATCTCTAGAACGGGCCCTTCCGTTCGCTTCATTTTTATAGTACTTTTCAGTGTCTCTGACAGAATCATCTATAACAGCACAATTTATCAAATGTGTGTGTACAAACAAACAGTTTTGGACAGGCAATAGTTCCTACCTCTTCCATCTCAATCTGCTGCTGCATGTATTTGGTATTCTTCTCCTCCAACAACTTCATTTGTCCTTTCAAGTCACTTAGATCCTCTGTCAACATAAATGACAAGAAAGCTCTATTGAACACATGAAACATTCGCAATTTAACAAAAGAAGAACATTACAAGTTAAGATGGACGAAGACTGTATCAACAGTTATAAGATGAAGTTGATATGGATGTATGGGGCATGTCCTGGGGAGAAGCGAACAGAGAATACAGAACAGTTACTTACAGTACAGAACAGTTACTTACAATACAGAACAGTTACTTACAGTACAGAACAGTTACTTACAGTACAGAACAGTTACTTACAGTACAGAACAGTTACTTACAGTACAGAACAGTTACTTACAGTACAGAACAGTTACTTACAGTACAGAACAGTTACTTACAGTACAGAACAGTTACTTACAGTACAGAACAGTTACTTACAGTACAGAACAGTTACTTACAGTACAGAACAGTAACTTACAATACAGAACAGTAACTTATAATACAGAACAGTAACTTATAATACAGAACAGTAACTTACAGTACAGAACAGTAACTTACAGTACAGAACAGTAACTTACAGTACAGAACAGTAACTTACAGTACAGAACAGTAACTTACAATACAGAGCAGTAACTTACAGTACAGAACAGTAACTTACAGTACAGAACAGTAACTTACAATACAGAACAGTAACTTACAGTACAGAACAGTTACTTACAGTACAGAACAGTAACTTACAATACAGAACAGTAACTTACAGTACAGAACAGTAACTTACAATACAGAACAGTAACTTACAATACAGAGCAGTAACTTTCAGTACAGAACAGTAACTTACAATACAGAACAGTAACTTACAGTACAGAACAGTAACTTACAATATAGAACAGTAACTTACAGTACAGAACAGTAACTTACAATACAGAACAGTAACGTATAATACAGAACAGTAACTTACAGTACAAAACAGTAACTTGAAATACAGAACAGTAATTTATAATACAGAACAGTAACTTATAATGCAGAAGAGTAACTTACAATACAGAACAGTAACTTAGAGTACAGAACAGTAACTTACAATACAGAACAGTAACTTACAACACAGAACAGTAACTTACAACACAGAACAGTAATTTATAATACAGAACAGTAACTTACAATATACAACAGTAACTTACAGTACAGAACAGTAACTTATAATACAGAACAGTAACTTACAATACAGAACAGTAACTTACAGTACAGAACAGTAAAGAAACAGTAACTTACAATACAGAACAGTAACTTACAGTACAGAACAGTAACTTATAATACAGAACAGTAACTTACAATACAGAACAGTAACTTACAGTACAGAACAGTAAAGAAACAGTAACTTACAATACAGAACAGTAAAGAAACAGTTACTTACAATACAGAACAGTAAAGAAACAGTAACTTACAATACAGAACAGTAACTTACAATATAGAACAGTAACTTACAGTACAGAACAGTAATTTACAATACAGAACAGTAAAGAAATAGTAACTTACAATATAAAACAGTAACTTAAAATACAGAACAGTAAAGAAACAGTAACTTACAATACAAATCAGTAACTTAAAATACAGAACAGTCATTCTCATTACAAAGCAATAAAACACTGTTAAATTCAATAACAGAACAACATTTTGTAATCAGTACGAACCTAACTTTTTCTTGTATGACTCTAGTGTGGACTCAGATTTCACCTGAAAAAATATACAATTAATTTACCTAGGATAAGAATTGGCATAATTTGTCAACATCACCCCTTTACCTTTCTTTTCATTGCTGTATATTTCACAGGTAATCATGACTTTACATAAACCCCCCCCCCCCCCCCCCACCATCAAGTGCTGTTTATCAAATGACATCTCTGCAAATGTATAACCATTTTTAAAAAATTTAAAAAAGAATTCATTCTCTCATCTGTAATCTCTGTTTGAAAACACACAGACAGACAAGAGAGAAATGAAAAAAATAATTGTAAAAAATAATAATAATAACAATCATATTTATTATACTTTCATGGCCAACGTGGTAGCCAAGAAGAAATTGTCACATTGATTACATAAGAAAATGTTTAAAATCAGGCTTATTATGAGGTCAGACTTATCCTTGATTAGTTAGTTAGTCTTTTCTCTTGAGCCTAGGGCGGCACATAGGGCAGAGATCATAGCTCTCCATTCCATGTCCAGCGGTTCATTGCCAGCTGTTTTAGGTCTTGGAACTTCATCATTTTCTTTTCCCTACCAGTGTCCATTTGAGTGCTTGATTTGGGGGTGGGAGTGTCTTGTCTTATCCGTTCTGAGTGCATGGCTAATGTAATTCCAGCGGAACTTTCTGATAAAACTGGATACATCATCTTGCTTGTTCTCTTGTCTTATTAACATATTGGATCTGAAATCTGTCCCACCGAGATTTAGCATTCTTCTAAGACATTTGTTCTCAAAATATCCTCAAACATAACAAATAAATTAATATGAATGTTATAAGCCACACTCCATCTGTCATGTGCTGAGTACCGTGATGGTGCTTAACTTAATCAAGGATTGTTGAATACTGAATTAATAATCAACATCACAGCACTCGGGACACATTCCTATAAGCTATCCGTCCCCACCTCTCGCAAGCGAAGAGTTCCAATTCCAATGGTACCAGTAACTGTCTGATTGTACATCTTTTGCGTCTTTCTCCTGTTCAGCATCGGTCAGATCCCCCGGTAACTCCCATCACCACCATTCACCTCAGACAGTAATGTTTGTGCCTCCGCACTGTTCACTCGCTCCCAAAGGGCCCTCATAAAATCTAGTTTGTTATACATCAATTCCCAACCAAGTGGTGCAGAACCAGCCAGCCAGTCTTTCTGCCTGCTCGTTTCCCAACACACCAGCATCATCTGGAGAAAATATCCAAAGAATGCTGACTACCCAGGAAGTCTAAAGCAATGCTTGCCACTTTGCACGGAGCATGCCTGTCTCCAACTTTCTCAGCATGCTCTGTGAATCAGTTACAATTAAAACATGTGCGCACAGCTGATTCTCAATCCAGCGGAAGGCAGCAGTGACTGCCTCCACCTCCATTCTCAGACTAGACACTGTGATATCAAATGGTTTGTTGCACTAAGCGTCAATCAAGGATGTCAACTCAAAACATACTAACAATAGCTGGGTACTCACCAACTGGTCGGAGGTATGCCGCAATATATCCAGCTCGTCTTTCATGGCACGAGATTCTACAGCCAGTTTATTCAGCTCTGCATTCTGGGAAGCAGATTTTAAAAATTTAAGAATTTAACATAAACAATCTTTCTGTATTCATAATCTGTTTAAATCAAAATTAACTAACTGGCGCCTGCACAGAACAGAGGGAATCAAATGGTATGACAGAATCACTAATTTAGAGCTCTGGGAGAGAACTAAACAAGTTCCAGTGGACCAAGAGATGAAGAAAAGACGCTGGCATTGGATAGGACACACATCAAGAAAACCTGAGAACAATATGACTAGAACGTCTTTGCACTGGAACCAACAGGGGCACAGAAATAAGAAAGACCAAAAGAACACACGGAGAAGGGAGCTAGAGAGTGAAGTTAAAAAGATGGGAAGGACATGGGTAGAGCTGCATGTGATAGTAGACAGAATGACTTGCAGTGAGTTGGTTGAGGGCTTATGCTAGATGAGGGGTTAGAAAGGCAGAAGAGGAAGAATTACTGGCACCATGAGTGCTAGTAGGCTGCAATGGTTGGGGCATACAGAAAAATGGCAAACAATAAAGAGGTAAATGGAAGAAAACCACAAAGAAGACCCAGAAGAGGGTGGAGAGATAATACACAGGCAGACCTACAAACACTTGACTTCACCATCTGAAAAGTGAAGGTCAATCAAAGGGTTGAATGAAAGCTGGGGATATCTGCAGCACTGAACACTGACAGCAAAGAATGCTGGGAAGTTAACCCGGTCAACAAATGGCAGATGAAGATGGATGTGTCGGCTGAAAGTGCAAATATCACAGCTATGCTGTGAAGAGGCACAACGCAATTACGTCACTCATACGAACAAAAAAAAAAGATTGCTGAAGACAATGTGGACAAAGGAAATCAAGAATGCCCTGGGCATTCATAAAAGTCCACAAAGAGGGAAAGATGGCACTAACTGTGAATAACTTTCCAGGGTGCCATGATGTGAGTGATGTTCTGGAAGGATCTGCTACATGATGACTTTAAACTGGACATACACCCCACTGAGATAGTAAAACATTTAGTACACAGATCAGACTGTAAATATACTGTAGTTAGTATGTGCATGATTATCCTAAAGCAGACTTCCGTTTTCAAAGTGGTGGATAGCATCAATGTTTATTTTCGCTGGCTGTCAATTCTCTCTGATTGTTCTGTTTCCCAATAATGGACTGCTATTTTGTGCGCATTTCCAACGCAGGATACTATGTGTTTTTCGTGGGAGCAGCGTGTATTGTGGTTGTGTTATGTCAGAGGGGGATAATGACCGATAATTCTGGCAGCCTGGATAACGCTGCCTTCGCAAGGTTTTGATCGCGGGAGTCCACTCGGGAAGATAGAATCTCGTCAGCAGGGGACTGCAACTTCTAGAGAGCAAACTCGATAAAAGCTGTCCCCAGAAATTGAATGTGTCAACCATATGTTGGGTGGGGAGGAATCCACACATACGGTTAACTCATTGGCCATGGCCATCCTAAAGCAACTGTTGATGAGAGAAGTCAAAGGTCCGTGGACTAGACTCCTCCATGATGATGTCACTGCACAAGAGATAATGGAATGGAGAAATCTACTGTGAGCCCTAGGTGACATATAATGGCACATCAGGACAATGAATAGAAGATGTACTTTTGTCTGCTTCTTGGCGTTCACTGGTTGAAAACTCAGGCGGAAAGTTCTGGTTGTTTGTCCACCTTTTGCGTGCACATGAGTTTAACAGATCTGACTTAACTGAAGCAGACTGCTGGTTCCTTGTCTCTCAAAAATGATGTGCACCGAATTTGAAGGAAGCACCCCAATTAGTCGACTCTTATGACATGCTTGCTGGAAAGGCAGTGGGTATTTTCTTGTATTCCCCACAATGAGGCTCCGGAACCCACATAAGGAGAATAATGTACATGATTAGTAGATTAAGGTTAGTTGCGTATCCTTTACAGGATGTTGCAGAACCAACCCCAGGCTGTTGTGTGGTTTCACTAGGCAAATTTACGTCCATTAGTTTGCCATTGCTTTCTGGACGGTCGGCCCACTGATACCACTGTCAAAAACAACGCATGGCGCATGGCCCGCAGCTGGGATGGAACTCGGCATTACGAAGCGTTTGCATCGAATTAGCCACAGAGCCGACGATTAGTAGATTACTGGTGTAAAAACAAAAATAAAACAAAAAGTTAGTCATGTGTATCCTCTAAACAACACTGCATATCAACCTCCGCATCTGTTTGCCGTTTGTTGTTCTACAGGGCAATTTGTTCAGTTCATTAAGTTACCCTGCCTTCAGAATGGTCAGCTCTGATATAATTGTCCAAATCAACACAAAGCAGTCTGTTGCCGGAACTGAACCAGGTCTCGCAGAATCACAAACATGTTCGCAACCTGTACGCCACAGAAAATACAGTAAAACACATGATGTATACACACTTGCAACCAACCTTGTCTCTTAGTTCTATGACATCCCTGTTCAAAAGCTCGTATTTGATTCTGTAATCATCTTTACCTGGTGAGAATAAAAGAAAGCATTTAATAAGGCTCAAAAGAAGTTAAAACAGAGGGTTCAAGATGTATGGTCAAACACATGGTCTCTACAAATAATTCATCCCTGTTTAAGTTCTGAGGCCCCATTCTGAGGGAAAATAGAATAGACCCACTGCCTCCATAACAAGCATGTCAGAGTGCATCTGCCCGAGAGGCAAGGAACCAATAGTCTGCATACAAATAAGCAAGATCTGTAAAACGGAATCACGTGTATAATTCAGGTCCTGGAACAAAGCCAAAGTTTAGAAATGGACTAACAACCTGATCTTTCCACCAGGGTTTACAGCCGGTGCACACAAACAACAACAAACAACTAATTAAGACCAGGGATAAAGTTCCTGCCCTCCATTGCACAAAATCTGGCATGTATTGTAGAGATCATGTTGAATGTTGAGTGCTGTGATGTCAATTAGAGACCATGTTGAGTGCAGTGATGTCGATTCTTAATTCAACATGGTCTCTGCAATACTTGCCAGGCTTTGCGCAATGGAGGGCAGGAACTTTATCCCTGGTCTTAATTGGTTATCACCAAAGGTTGTGATTTCCATGCCACAATGGATCACTTTCATGTGGAAAGATGAAAATGACCCCCCCCCCCCCCCCCTCACACACACACACAAAGAATAAAATCAGATGAGTGTAAAATCAGAAGAAACACTCCTACTTAACTCTTTCACCCCCAGAATTTAAAAAAAAAAATGATACTTCCAGGTGGTATCATTGCTCCGTAACAACCACGTTCCTGACTCGTTACAGAGACAAGTTTACGAGAGACGTCATGCTTATAGAATAAATTGCCTCTGTGCAAACATTCACTGTGACAGGGGATGACTAAATTTACTTTTTTTTTAAACAGCACTGGGGAAAAGAGGGGGAGAGAAGGTGTGTTAAAAATGGCTTTATTAACAGAAATTCCTGTCACATTTTTTGCCACTGGTTACAGTGGTTACCGGGCAAGCAGGTCACAGGGACAAGTCAGAGTCACTCTATAATCAGTTTACAAGTGCCAAAAGATCTAAGCCAGTTGATTCTATGCTGCACAGCCTTTTACTGATTACTGCCATTATTATGTATAGTATTTTTTTTTTCTGATAATAAATTCATTTTGTACTATTTTGGGGTGACATAAGCAGATGATTTTTTACCTAAGGATTTTATTTATCAGGAATTTCTCCCCAAAAAAATGAAATTACGAGAAGCTTGACTTTTTTTCCTAGGTCACCAGGATGAAAGGGTTCATTACAACAACAAAAGTCAACAGACAAGCACTTCTGGCACACTCACTAGACTCTAACTTGTACAGCTCCTCTTGTAAACTCTCCACTTGATGCTGCAGCTGTGCTAGTCTTTTCCCTGCAGGCGTGCTTTCAAATAAAACGTTACAAACATTTTAGACCGAAGACATAACTTGATAACACAAATCTAACATTTCATCATCATCATGTTGCGTTGCCTTATGTCAGATAGGGCTCGTAGTCTATTCTTCAATTCTGCTCTATTCTTCTGCAATCCTTCCAATATCATGGATGGAATTTACCCTCCCTTATTAATGTTCATTTCAGGGTTTCTCTTCGATGTCCTTGTTTCCTTAGTCAATTTCTTACGCATATCAGTACTTGTTTAACTCTTTGAGTTTCACGCAACTAAAGATATGTGAATCGCCTATCTGATGAATCCCCTCATTAGCTCAACATGCTTTCTTACTATTTTTTTTGGGGGTGGTTGTAAGTAGAAAGTAAGTAAAGGACCCTTTCCACGCCTTTAGGTGTATAGGGCATTTAGGGCTAGACCTATATTTTATAAAACAATCAGCACAAGATGGGTGATGTGGTCAGCATAACGTCGGCCGCATTTACTTCCTAGGACTGCACCCGGTACCCACTCAAGGCTGGGTAGACCTGGGAGCCAAGGTCATTTTTAAAAAGTCTGGCTCCGTTTTTTGATTGTATTTGATGAAAACACACTCGAGAAATCTGTATTATCCAGTCGTCACTACCACCGTTAAATTACCGTTTTGACAGTACAGTTTTTGTAAAATGGGATGTGTTGATTTGTAAGGTGTAGAACACAGTCTAGCGGCAAATCACAACAAAAACACATCAACCATCCTTTTAAAGGTGAAAGAAAAAGAAAAAGTAATCTTCTTCTTCGCGATCACCAGCTGTACACTCTGGCGGAAAGTTCTGGTTGCTCGTCCACTACTGAACTGCAGTCCTGCTCCAGAACCTGAGTGTTGCGTGTGCATCAGTTTTACAGATCTCATTCTCTTGAATACAGACTGTTGATTCCTTGCCTCTCCGGCAGATGCACTCCGACTTCAAAGGAAGCTCCCCAATTAGTCGACTCTTACGACATGCTTTTAGGGAGGCAGTGGGTCTATTCTTTTTTTCCCCCACAATGGGGCCCCGGAACCCACACAGGGGGAAAAAGTAATATTATATACAGAACAAAAACAAACAAAAAAATCAGCACACTCAAATGTACCTCAGATCTTCGAGGCTTTCTGCCATCTGAAGTCTTTCCTCGAGACGTTCTTTGTCAGTCAGAAGACTGACTCTTTCTTCTTGTAAACTTGCAACCTGCCAAACAAAATGTATGAAACATCAATAACCTCCTTTCGGTTGTTCAGCCTCCACAAGTGATGAGGACCACTCTTTCTTTCATCCTTCATAAAACTTGGTGCTTAAATAATATTCTTACACCCCAGATGACGTCACAGGACAGTCCAACATTTTAGAGGGTGGTAAGACTGGGTTTCCTGGCTTTCTGATGCTTTTAATGACCCTAAAACATAAAGAACTGGCCCTAACCCCAACCCACCTACATCCCACGAGAGAGGGCAGCCTAGGTCCCACGACTGCATGCAGCCTAGGTCCCATAACTGCATGCAGCCTATCTTCCATCCACTGAAATATTAGATTGCCCCGTGACCTGTCGATTTCCCGTTTGGGGTAGGATATTAATAAAGCACCTAAAACTGTAGTTGACTGTCAGTCGTCCAGAGATGACTTATAAGCCCAATGGGTGCCTGGAAGGATCTAGGGCAATGCCGCAGGGAACAGTGTCTGTAAGTAAAGGGTCTGTTACACAGGTCTTTCTAGCCTGTCTCCGCTGTTCTGCCGTCAGTTTTCTAGATGCCTCCCAGGTCGTTGCACCTCCTTGGGCTGTCATTCTCCATACAGTCCGGTCTTATGCCGCAGCCTCTGAGATGTCAGGGTTTATACAGAAGATTTTAACTGATGCCTTTGATTTTGCTGACCACCATGAGAGTGTCTCCCTTCTTGTATCTCACAGTAAAATAATATTTGTGGGAGCCAATGGTTTGGCAAAGGGAGGAGGTGATCTGCCCATCGAATCTGTGCCTGCATCGATACACAAAAATATAAAATGCTGACGTAAAATGAATTGTTTTTCTTTTATAAATGACCTCTGTCATATTTTTTTTCTCCTGAAAATTGCCATGAGTTCTTAGGTTTTTTTTTTTTTTTTTAGCATGCGTGCGGCGAAATAGTTTATATCATTTATGCTTTACCCTTCCAAACATTTTCTAGGTTTTGCTAATTTAGACTGGGTTACCTAGGAGCCTCGGTCAATTTTAAAAACTGACCCCAATTGGGATTTTAAGTCTGACACATCCACTGCCCTCGAGGAACTCCCAAAACACCAGTTCAGTTTAGTTTTGAAAAGAAAAATCATGGAATTAACTCCCTTTAATCGTTAACTATTAGAGCTTCAGATGACCTGTAGTTTTGAAATTAAAAATCATGGAAGTAAGTCCCTTTAAAATCTAGCTACTGCAGCTTCTAAAAGACCAGCTTAGTTAAAAAGAGAAATAATGGGATCAAGTCACTTAAACCCGACCTATGATAGCTCCTAAAAGACCAGTTTAGTTCTGAAATAGAAATCATGGAATTAACTCACTTTAAACTCTAACTGCTGAGGCTTCTAAAATACCAGTTTAGTTCTGAAAAGAGAAATGGAATTAACTCACTTTAAACTCTAACTACTACAGCTCCTAAAAGACCAGTTTGGTTTTCAAAAGCAAAATCATAGATTAACCCACTTTAAACTTTAATTACTGCAGCTAATAAAACATCACTTAAACTTTGAAAAACCAAGTGTGGGTACCAGGTCCCATTCCCGAAAGAACAGAGCCACTGCTCCCTAATGAAAATGTCATAAAAGTCGACAAAATATGGGTTTTCCCTTTATAGTAGAGGCCAGGAACCAAGTCTGCTTAGGAAAAAGCTAGATCCGTAAAGCAGATGTGAACTAAAAACACAATATCTGGAACAAGACTAAAGTTGAGAAGAGGATAAACAACCAAAACAAGTTTACAGCTTATCAACATGAAGAAGTAGTAGTTTTGAAAAGAAAAATCAATGGAGTAATTCCAGTTAAACTCTTAACTACTGCTGCTCCTAAAAGACCAGTTTAGTTCTGAAAATATAAATCATGGGATTAATTCGTTTTAAACTATAACTACTGTATCTCCTTAAAGACCTGTTTAGTTTTCAAAAGAAACAATCATGGGAGTAACCAACTTTAAACTCTAGCTGCTGCATCATCTTCTTCTTTCATCTCCAACTGTATCTAAATAATCTATGACAGTGGTTTCCAAACTGCGCGCGACAGCGCCCCGGGGAGCCGCGACCTCTTCACAGGGGCGCAGCGAAATATTCAAGAATTAAAAAAAAAATTTTTTTATCTCTTACAAACGAAGTTATACTTTTACTTAGGTTAGGGCAACATGGAAAATTTGTAATTGAAAAAAAAAAGGCGCTGCAACTAAAAAAAGAGATTAGGAAACACTCCTCTATGAGATAGCAAAACCCTGAAAGTGTATATGCACATACCTGAGCATCTAATTCATGGCAGCGCTGAAGAAGTTCTTCTTTAGCTTCTAATGCACTATTTAGTTCCTCCACGGTTTTCTTCAGCTGGAGAAGATAAATAAACACAGAAAACAATCAGAAAAGGATAAAACAAATACAAGCTGTAGTGAACACCATAGTACAATTTCGAGTGTTAAGCTAACAACTGACATCCAAACACTCAGGACATTCCCATAAACGCTCCATCCTCAGCTTCAACAGCCAGGGAAAAGTTCCAATTATGATGGTGGCAGTAGCAGTACAATTCTGTCTGTCTTGCTTTTCCTCCATCTTTTTTTGTGCAGTTGCGTGTGTTTGTGTGTCTGTATAGCTGTGTGTGTGTGTGTGTGTGTGTGTGCATGTGTCTGGGTTGTTTGCATGTGGGTGTTTGTAACAGAGTGTGTCTGTGTATGAATGAGTATGTATGTATGTGTGTATGTATGTGTGTATGTAGGTACACATGTCTGTATGTGTGACCGTGTGTATGAGTATGTATGTATGTGTGTATGTAGGTACACATGTGTGCATGTGGATGTACGTATGTGTGCATTGGGTACCAATGTGTGGGTGTAAGTGAGTGAACGAGTTTGCGTGTGTATGTGTGTGTGTGTGCATGTGCGCACGTGCATGCAAGTGTGTAAGTGCGCGCATGCAGTTTACCACTTATGCTTTTGTTTTTGACTTGATAGTCATAATATGCATATTATTACATGAACATAACATGCTTTATTGATAAAATACAACTGCTGTGTGAAAGATGGGTGTCTAGAAGGGCCTAATGTAAGATGGGCCTGTGTGCCTAATTTGTGACCCTCTGAAAATAAACTCTGTTTCTTCGTTTATTCGTTGTGAGTATTGACCAACTGGTCACTTCCCGTTGTACCATTCTCTCCAGGCCATAATGATCTATACATATATTGTGTTGCTCAGTCTGTGTAAAGATGAGGTTCAAAATCCAGTGTGAATGACTTGTGCCCCAATCAGAAATAGGAATTCTAAGCATTATTTTTTTCTCATTTTACTCTTATAGAATGTGCTAGATGCCAGTTTTTCTTCAGCTATCTCTGGTCTGGTAATGCACATAATCCACTGTGGGCCATAAGCTCGGATATCATCTCAAAGTTTCTTAGGTTTCCCCAAATTTTAGTCGTCAGTTCTATTGGATTCGGCCAAATGTTGCTCGGCAGCTCCGTCAAGAGAGGACAGTCTTGCAAGATATATTCTGGAGTCTGTTCAGAACGAAGACACTGGCAGAGAGATGTCTGGTTCATACCTAGTTTATATGAGTGTTTGTTCAGTCTGCAGTGTCTAGTGCGTAAAAAGTGTGCCAGTTTAAAGGTCCTAAATGTTCATCTTATCCTTCAGCCATCCATGTTTTCCATGCATCTATTCCAATAGGGTTATAAACAGGAAGAAGTGCTTGAGATCTTAATTGATGCCTCATAGTTTATTTTGTGAGGACACTCCTATGGGTCAGATTTCTTCTCTCAGGGTGTCAAAGGAAAACACAAGGAACTGTGGAGAGAACAAACACATTCACAAGACCCCATCAGTGAACTCAATAGAGAGCAACATACACAAATTTTCCATCTGCAAACAGGACACTGCAGGCTCAGCTGCAATATGCATTAAAAAAAGATTGTGCGGTCCCCATAGTGTGCCTGTCGGGCAGAACCACAGGCACCTGAGCGCATTCTGCCGACCTGCCCATTCTGCCTACAGCTTCGAGGTGACACCTGGCCTCGGGAGCAAAGTGTGCAGAGCAAGCTATGGGGAACCATTAAGGACCTGCTACTGACTTGAGAGTTCACAGAGGCAACCCACTTGATGGTCTGATCTGAGCATACAAAACCGAATGCAGAGAAGAAGACATATGTATATCATTGTGACCAATGATAAGGTTTTTATCTTACAGCATAAATGTATATAATTGTGAACAATGAAAAGGTTTTTCTCTTACAGCATAAATGTATATCATTGTGAACAATGATAAGGTTTTTCTCTTACAGCAATAATGTATATCATTGTGAACAATGATAAGGTTTTTCTCTTACACCATTTATGTATAACAATGTGAACAATGACAAGGTTTTTCTCTTACAGCATATATGTATATCATTGTGAACAATGATAAGGTTTTTCTCTTACAGCATAAATGTATGTTATTGTGAACAATAAAAATTTTTTTCTCTTACAGCATATATGTATATCTTTGTGAACAATGATAAGGTTTTTCTCTTACACCATTTATGTATAACAATGTGAACAATGACAAGGTTTTTCTCTTACACCATATATGTATATTATTGCAAACAGTGATAATGTGTTTCTCCTTAAAGGATATACGTATATCTCTTTTAACAGACTCCCACTGGTTGATGGTTGGGGGGGGGGGGGGGGGGGGGGGGGGGGGGAGGGGGTGATTTATGACGTAAAACCACTAATGCTGTCCAGTGGTCACAAGGACATGTAATGAGGGTCTTACCTGCTCTTGAATCTCTGTCTCTACATCATCCCCAGGTGCGGCCTCTTTGTTCATCAGCTATAAACACAGAAAGAGAATCAATTAAATATGTATGTATGACTGATACCTACAGAAAGAAGGGAGCAACTTACCATGCATTTCAGTGTATAAGATGAGTTTTCCAAAGGCTAAGGGTCGACTTGCATGGCTGGAATAAACTGTGCCAGGTCTGACTCAAAATTCTGAGCTAAAAATACTGAGGTCAACTTGTTCGCCAGGTCGGCTCACATGCTCCAATTTATGGTATGGTACATATTACAGAATATGATACACAATGGTTCTCAATGTAGACCAAGACCACATTCATGCTTTTCTTTTCTACTGCTGTCCATAGTCTGCTTTGTGCCACAGGTTAACAGATGATTGCTATCTGAGCTAAGGCATGCTTGACTGCCCGGCATGCTGTGATGTTGTGTAGCCTCAAGGTGTCAGTGACTCGTTCAATCCATCTTCTTTTTGGTTGTATCCTACCTCTTGGTGATTCCACTTTCATGTTGTACGCTCTCATTTCTAGCACGAGCACTGTAATGTCAATTCTTGACTCAACTCGACTCAACTCTTGTTTATAGCATCATTGGATTCTCATTAAATGGCCAAACCATTTCAGTCTGTGTTGTTTAATTATTTTCTTTATTTCTGTCTCTACTGGGATAGAGAGGTGCTTCAAAACTGGGCTCAACTGATGTGTGACATTCTTCCTCAACCCCCCCCCCCCCCCCCCCCACACCACTACCCTCCCTAAGAAACAAAGATGACCACACAACAATGAGACTGCACTGTTCCGCGTAACAAATGCCTGCAGAAGGACGTGCTGGCAACAGGTGCACATATTACAGCCATGTTGTAAACGGGCATAACGTATTTACATCTTCAAACAAAATCAGAAGAAGACAAATGACTGACCTCTTGTATGGCATTCTTAATGCTCTGCTGCACAGCTTCCTCCATACTCATGATGGTCTGTATGTACTCATGTTTGTTATCACAGTTTATGGCCACATTTAGCACCAACTGCAGCAGCCGACCTAGTTCTCTGGCATCGGCATGCTCAGCTGCAACAGTGAGGGTCAGAAAACATTCAGCTTGTACAAGGAATATACTGTTAAAGTTCAAAGTTACAAATGAGAGAATCGACATCACTGCACTGGAGTTTATCATATATGGCTCAGTCTCTCTCTCTGCAAATAGCTTTCTGTCTGCAGCATCCCACAAAGCACAAACACTGCAGATCCGGTGATGAGCCCTAGGGGTATCTCTGAATAAAATTGCAGTCATGAACCACAAAAAACAGCCGTGAAATGAATCCATAACCTTCAGGGAAATGGCTTGACCACTTCGCCATGGACACCCCTTTTCCCCAAGAAAATACTGTACAGCTTACAATCAAGTAAATAAAATATAACAAACATGTCTTCATTGCCTGGTTTCCGTAAGGTTTGGAGGCCTCATTTTGAGATAAATACAAAATAGACCCAATGCTTCTAAACAAGCATGTCCTGTATGATGACTAACTAATGGTCGGCTGACACTGGATGTGTTCGGACAAATGGAGCATATCGCAGCCTTTTAGTGTTGTGCTGTCTGCACGACAAGACCCCTCATGGACTTCATCCTTGTTTTTGGAACTTTTCCACTGAGCTTAGTAAGCGACTATAACTACCTACGTCCCTGTCCTTGCTTCCCACGATATTGCCAGTCGTCTGTCTAGACATCACGTGACTCACCCCGTCCAGCACAAAACAATAAGTTGTTTTTCACATTGTTGGAATACTTCTAAAGTCGCTGCAGACTCTGCAAAGCAATGTGGCTGGGAGGTCCCGGGAGCAGGCTAGTAGCCCCTTTATAAGCGACTGCCCGGAACCCGTAGGGAGAGACAAGCACCGGCCAGCTGAACAGGGAAGGAAGTCAGGCTTGAGAGCAGGTTGATTAGAAAGTATAGATAAGAAGATAGATAAAGTTATTCCCGTTAATTACACGAAATAGATGTATTCCATCAGAATCTCCGTCAGAAACCGTGGACCAGTCCAAGAAGTTACGATTGTTTTTACACATGAAAACGGACTAGCAAGTGTATACAACTTTACAGTAAGGCTATTTGATATCTATTTTAACCGACCATGGGCCCAGCCGGATTCGGGAGTGGATACTGACTCGGGGTCAGAAGAAGGAGAAGAAGAACAAGAAGAAGCAGGAGCACAATAGATAAAAAAAAACTACACATAGGCCGGACTTCCTGGAGATCCCCTGTTGTATTTTAGAAGAAGAAAGATGAAAACTCTTTAGACCAACCTGCACTAGGAGCCCGGTGGCAGTTAGATACTAGAGCTAGTTAACTAAGTAACAAGAGTAAGAACTCAAGATTATATTCCTATAGAGAGAAAACAGCACCTTTTTTTTTTTGAATGTCAGTGATATTGTTTGAAACAGTGTTGAAGTGTCACAATAAAGACAGTGTAAACAAGAACAGTTATTTTCAGACACATTATTTTACAATCATCTGAGTAACGTGAGAAGTATGCAGTAAGCGAGACTCGTCATCATCACCACTATCGACACGACCATTCCTATTCTTATCTTCACTTTTATCATCATCGGCTACCCTTGTGGCAAATATAAAAGAACCTGGGTTGCATTCCAATATAGGCAGTAAAGGAGGCAGCTGTGCCACACACCATAAGACCAGTATAAAACCATAAGGCACCTTAAGATAAGGAAAAAACAACACCTGCATGCATCCATGCACGCACACACACAAGAAAAAAAAACACCATAAGATAAAACTTCATAGGACAAAAGAAAACACCTCAAGACAAGATAAAACACCACACATACATAACCCAAAACAAGATAAAACAGTTCCCTACCTCCCCCAAAAAGTCTTAACACATCAAGGTTAGGTTAGTTGCGTATCTTTTACAGGAAGTTGCAGAACCAACCCCAACAGCCCCTGGCTGTTGTGTGGTTTTTCTAGGCAATTTACGTCCAGTAGTTTGCCACTGCTTTCTGGACGGTTGGCTTTCTTGATACCACTGTCGAAACCAAAGCAAGGCGCATGGCCCGCAGCTGGGATCGAACCCGGCATCACGGCATTATGAAGTGTTCGCATCGACTTAGTCACAGAGCCGATTAAACACATCAAGACAGGACAAAGAATAACTTTTTTTTTTAAAAGATAGAACATCTCAAGAAAAGAAAATCATCACAAAACAAGACAAAACATTACAAGACAAGATAAACGTCACAAGACAAGAAAACAAAAGATATGAAATGACTCACCTATAGCATTCACATCTGGCATCTGAAAGCCCTGCATTGTGACACCTAAGACCTGACAAAATAAAGCATCCACCATGTGAACCATTAAAAAACGGATCTGAATGTAATTTATTTACTGTTATACTTTATTCGACCAACCGTCTGCATTTTGAGAAATGTTCATGTGTCATACTGGATGGAGCAAGTGATCCATGTAAAAGTAAAGGTCCCTTTTCCACGCCTTTAGGCGTATAGGGCATATAGGGCTAGACCAATATTTTTATAGACCAATCAGCACAAGACGGGTGATGTGGTCAGCATCACGCCGGCCGCCTTTACTTTCCTGGGACCGCAAACGGTACCCACTCTAGGCTGGGTCAACCTGGGAGTCAAGGTCATTTTTGAAAAAGTCATGCTCCACCAGGGAGCAAGCCCACGACCTTCCGATAGATCCATGTAAAAGCCCACTAAAAAACAAAAACATATGCGGTGCGGTTGTAATGCCTAAGCCACAGACCCAGCCAGTGGTAAAAGCCCACTGAAAAAAAGAAACCCAAAAAACTTACCTCTAAATTATACTCCAGTAACCCTTTCAAGATTTTCTTTAAGTTTGTGACCTGAAACAAACGTATTTCATGTATAAGATTACCTAAAAAGATGATTCCACAGTTTGCACTTCTTCAGTCAAATCAATTAATTATCCAATAATGTTTCTTGTAATGAAGACGGCTCAAACTATCAAACAGACTGTGGCCGAAAACAGTTTAAAAAACAGCTACTGAGCCACTTCATTAGGAACTCTTCTCAATATTTGCTTGATATTTATTTTGGTTTTTATTGCATTGGATATCATAGCATATATATGCCTGCCTACGGGCCTGAAGGTCATGGGTTCAAATCGGCACTGAGTCAGATAATTTACTGCTGTTGCTTTCCATCTTATAAAGGCAAAGGTTGTTGCAAAGTAGTAACTGCCACTGGGGTGTCAAGTGTTGGAGGTTCACACATTTTAATCAATATGTGGCATGAGTGGATACCAAACATAAACATGGCAACATTCCAGCGAATACTGCCACCCGGGATATGCAGGAGTGCAAGGAAATGAAAGAGAGGATTTTCTGGCTTCAAAAGTGATAGCTATGGAAACACTTGTACTGGACAAAGGAGACATTCAGAAGACCATTTATGAATGACTGCTGACAGAAGATGAAATAACATGTGAAAATGTGTGAACGAGGACTAAGAAAATGATGTGTGTATAATAAGCATGCATCTGGAACAGTTAGCATCTAAAACTTAAGACATTTGCTGTAGAAGTTTGAACAGCATCGCGACCGGGTCGCCCACTGGCTGGCCGGTCAACGACTTTGTCTCCGGTCGGGACAGTATTTGGGTCTGCCTCCTTTGATCGTATTAACACTGCAAGAGTTCTTTTCAGAGCTACTTGGTGGCGAGCAATGCTAAGCCATTTTCTACGGCGCACATAACCTAGTCACAATTATAACCAAAAGCTCCTCTTTCGGAAATGCTGGTTGAACATGATGATTTTTGTTTTCCACAACACAAGCCAAGCCGAAGCAGGAGATGGAGCATCTATATGTATGCGTGGTGTGCTATGTTGTCAATTCTTTCATCAGTAAAACCGTAAACATACTAGGCCATGTCACACAGAGTAGTGTGACCTGTTCCTTTCCTAATCACCTTATCTACCCAGGAAATTCTGAAAATTGTTTGGTGCCAATTTTCAAATGGCTGGGTAAAACCCACAGCTCCTCAAATATTACCTAAAGATCTGGAAAGTTTGTCTACTTTTGGACTTTAATCTTCTTCTAGAACTTGAGTTGTACGCGCACATCCATTTTACGGATCTGGCTTATTTGTTACAGACTGTTGGTTCCTTCCCTCTCAGGCAGATGCACTTCGACTCTGAAGGAAATATCTCCAAGTACTAAACCCTTATGACATGCCTGTTAGGGAGGCAGTGGGTTTTATCATTCTTCCTCCAAAATTGGGCTCCGAAACCCACATGATGAGTGCAGATTTGAACACACGACCTTTGTGGCAGAGCTCAGCACCTGTTGTTAATGATTAGTTAGTCTTTCATTAGAGCAATTGTAGGAACCACACCATGCCTGCAATACATAAAGAAGCAACAAATAGAGTGGTTTGGCCACTTGATGCGAATGCAAACCGACCAACTGCCTCTACAAGCATACAACGAACAGCACTACTGCCCTAGAGCAAGAGGCAGACCGAGAGTACAATGGATAGACAATATATCAGAGATCCTGAGGCAACACGGACTAACAACAACACGTGCAACACACCTGGCCCAGGATAGAAAACTGCGACTCCCCACTACGCTGTGAGGCAATTGTGGACAAGTCAAGACAAGTCTTTCCTCTTGAGCCTAAGGCAGCGCATAGGGCAGTGGTCAAAGCTCTCCGTGTCCGGCAGTTCGTTGCCATCTGATTTAGGTCTTGGGTATTCATGAGGCCCGTAGTTGAGCCTTCCCTGATGATGGTTCTACGCAGAGTCTCTCTTAGTCTTCCCCGTTTTCTTTTCCCTTCCGGTGTCTACATAACATTCATTCATTCATTCAGTAGCATGTCCCTCGCGGAACCTCGCTGCCATAACAACCCTCCAGAAAACCTTCCTATCCTGAGCAAGATGTCCTGCGTCTGATACACCCATCTGGAGATCATCTGCCACATCCTGCACCCATCTTCTCCTTGGCCTTCCTCTTCCTCTCTTCCCAGGCATATACACCTCCATTATTGTTCTCTCTAGACTTCCATGACCAAAATATTTCAATTTTCTTTGTTTTATTGTCTTTACTAGCCAACCATCTTCAATATTCAGCTCTTGAAGTATGGATGCATTTGTTCTTTTCTTTACCCAAGTTATTCTTAGAACCTGTCTGTAACATTTATATTCAAATGCATTTATGCGCTGTTCTACATAACATTAAGAGCTAGAAATCTGATTCTTTAACAAATGAGGCTTTACGATGGCGACTTGTCGGGCCGCCGATCAACAGTTTCAGGCCAAGCTAGAGGAAAACACGTCCACCCTTCTCGAAATCGGAAACCTTAGATGTTAATGATTACTAACTACAAAACAATAGCTCCTATTTACAAAAGCGATTTTACAACAAACCTTGAGCCTCCAGTTACTGACATCTTCAGCTCTGATCTTTGACAACCACATCTGGGTAAAGAAGCTCGGCACTCTGAGGGAAACATCAACAAACATGAACCAAGAAAACAAGTCAAGAATCACAAAAGGATTTAATTCCATACTGTAATTTATCTGGGAGCCGCCGTGGTCTAGCAGCTAGACGCTCACCTGCGGATCGGAAGGTTGTGGTTTAGAGTTCTGACAGAGGCCAGACTTTTTTTTTTAAATGACCTTGGCTCCCATGTCGACCTAGTCTTGAGTGGGTACCAGGTACAGTCCTGGGAAGTAAAGGTGGCCAGTGAGGTGCTGACTACATCACCCACCAAGTGCCGTTTGGTCTATAAAATATAAGTCTAGCCCTACATACCCACGATCGAAGCAGACAGTGTTGTTTGGGCAAATTGGAACTTCTCAATCAACATACACAGCATTGCTCGGGCCTAGAAGTCAGTGTTAAGCAAGTCATAAAAGGCCACTAATTAGAGGTGTTTCCTTCAGAGTACCTCTGCCTGACTGGTGAAAAACCAACAATCTGCACACAAATAAGCTGGAGCTGTAAAAAGGATGTGCATGCACAACTCTAGTTTTCAAACAAGACCAAAGTCCATAAGTGGAAAACAACCAGAATATTCCACCGGAGTTTACATCCAGCGAACGTTAAGAAGAAGATATTAGCTGAATTTTATACATTCTGCACAAACAGTTTGTAGGGAAAAAAATGTGTAGCATTAATTTCTTAATGCCCCTCATACATACAATTCAATTATTCAATGACAATAGACACACAACAGATGCTTACATGGAGCTCAGTGCCTGTGCTATAGCCACTCCATCACTGAGTTCTGCTGGGGTGCTGTGTGGAGCACCAGGTGAAAGAGTCTCCAGCTGGGGAAGGTGAAAAGTGTACACAATAACAAGGTGAAAGAGTTCCCAATTCAGGATGGGAAATGTGTACACATTCACATAATAAAAGTTAAGAAAAGAAGTGGTGTATATTGTATCTTTTTTTTTTCAAAAGTTTCACATTTAAATTCTTAAATATACAGTGTTGGCCCTTGGGTATAAGGGTTACTAATGCAGTTTCATAATTCTAACGGCCATGGTTTGATTCAGCTGCAGGTAATGCAGACCTCTCTCATTCTACACAGCTAGGAGCACTGTCTGTTCAAGAAGCAAGGGCAAACTAGTGAATGAAAAACTGCCAGCTAAAACATACTGGGCTTAGTTCTATTGTTCTGAAAGGGATATGAAAACATACAGCATAGATTCACAAACTTATCTAGCTTGCAACCCCCCCCCCCCCTTTTCATGTTTTTTTTTTAATTTAAAAAAAACTACACTGGAAATCCTTCTGTAATTGAACAATAAGAAAATTGCAGTAACAAACTGTTTTTCTTTATGTATCTAGCTATCTTTCTCCTTGAGTTTTCCATTTACAACACATTTAATAGGAAACATAAACTAAGAAAACTTGAAGCTTTAAATTGTTCATTTGTTTTCTTCTTAAATCAGCCACTGCAACACTTGCATTACACAGGGAATATTAAGATAAAGACAGATAATACTGTCTTTTCTGCTCACCCTTAAAAGGGGCACATTCCGTTATGGTTCAAAGCTAGGCTTATTGGTGCTTGTTCAGGAGCAGAAACCCACATAGGGAGAATATTCAAACAAAAATCAAGAAGAATGTTTAAAGTAATTTCATGGGAAGCATGAATCTGGTGCACTTCTATTAACTTATTATTATTGTTTGTCTCTATTTCAACAGCAGCATAAACAAATTTCCAAGTTCATCTATTTGTATTCCGAGGCTAATACCACTCGGAACATAATTCCAAAACCCCTAATGTCATCCATGGCTACTGCAGCCCCATGTCTTGTTCCAGCTACCCCCCAGCGAAACAGAGATACCACCCACTTAGGGAAACTATGCTGCAGAGCACGACTATTCCACTGGCAGCCTGCGGAGGTCTAGCGAATAGCATGGGGATCACTGCCGGCTGTATTGTAGTAATGATCCCTATACACTGGAGCTAAGGCTTCTGGCCTGTGACTATCCTCATTTTAGAAATGTTGGCCCCTCAGTAAATTTAGCTGAATAGCCCTATTGTAGAGCAATCCATAACCTTAACAGAAGAAACTGTATAACACAACTGACACAGTTATTCATACTGTTTGTTACCAGCGCAAGGCTCAATCATCTGTATCCCCACTATAAGTACCTACATGTCATCAACGCTTGTGGGTTTGTGACATGTGTTGAATGTTTTTACCTTAGCATGACACAAGCATCAGTGGGTTAGACACTGCGAACGCACCTTGTAATTTCCGGGTGCCAGGTTCTTCTTCTTTGCGTTCTTTAGATTAGAAGTAGAGTGGGGCAAGTCTGCAGAATGTGCTCAGGTGTTTGTGGTCCTGTCTGACAGGCACTCTGTGGGGACTGGGTGCCAGGTTCGATCCCAGCTGTGGGTGATTTGGCAGCAGACCGTCTTGCACTGATTTTGACAGTGATATAGAGAGCTGATTGCTCACAAAGCAATGGCAAACTACGTGGACATAACATTCTTTAAAAAAAAAAAAAAAACAGCTGACGCTGATGAAAGTAAATGTAATTTTTACATCATCTTTTTTTTTTAAGTATGCCTGCTTTGCCTAAAAAGTAAACTGACTGATGCTAGTAGAGATAATGTTACAGCTTCTTCTTAAGTCTGCCCACCTTGCTGGAAGAGTAAATTGACTGCGATTAAGTATGCCCATCTTGTCTATAAAGTAAACTGACTGATGCTAGTAAAAGTAATGTTACAGCTTTTTCTTAAATATGCCCATCTTTCCAAAAGAGTAAACTGACTGTGATTAAGTACGCCCAACCTGCCTATAAAGTAAACTGACTGATGCTAGGAAAGGTAAGGTTACAGCTTTTTCTTAAATATGCCCACCTTGCCAAAAGAGTAAACTGACTGTGATTAAGTATGCCCACTCTGCCTATAAAGTAAACTGACTGCTAGTAAAATTAAATGTAATTTTACAGTTTCTTCTTAACCTACTTTGCCTAAAAATGCAACATAAAGTGACTGACAAGAGAGTTAACGATCACAAACTAGCCCATTCAGGTGATGTTGGTTGCTGTAAAAACAATGATGATTTGTATAACTGGGACTACTTGGTAGGGAAAAACATTCCAGCTCCTTGATCAGTGCAACACAGTTTCTACAAAAGTTGCAGAAATTATGTAAAAACAGCAGACCAAAAGTAAAGAATTTAAGACCACTAGCGGCGTTTAGACAAGGTGATATTCTCTCACCTTACCTCTTCATTCTTATGAAGGATGATGTCATCAAGACCTTTAAGGAGAAGACAAAGAAGTACTCAGTAGGGTACTGGTAGATGAGACCAATCTGTATATCAGAGCTGGCATTTGCAGACAATGTGGTCCTGACAGCTAAAACAGAGGCATACCTTCAGTCCAACTTACCTGCCTGGAAGGACAAGCTTGAGAAGAGAGGGATGACTATCAGTATCTACAAAAAAAAACCATGATTAAAAGAGAGGAGAAAAAACATCAGATCATGAGAGGACAGTGTGCAGTGGAGCAGGTGAACCAGTTCAAATACCTTGGAGTTGTAATATACCGAATGGGGGCATTAAAACAGAGCTGGCAGCTACCCTCCGAAGAACAGTCCCAAATTATCAAGGCCGAAAGTATACCCTAACAGGGCCTCAGTCACGTGTCAATTTCGGACTCCTGGGGACTATACCGCCACCATCTAGAGTATGTCTCACTCTGGATTGGGGCTAAAGTAGATGGCTGGGACTCACGAGCAAATAAAATGAAGGAAGCTGCAGGAGATGCGGTAGCTGCTGCTCGTGAGTCCCAGCCATCTAGTTTAGCCCCAATCCACGCCGTAGCGGCGTGGGAGATACTCTTGACATTGGAGGAAGTCGCTGGAAGTGCACAATTGACATGTGACTGAGGCCCTGTTAGGGTATATTTTCGGCCCGTTATTCAGAGGATAGCCCAGAGCTGGCTACTCGAAAAGAAACTGCTGTGAGACTTTTCCAAGCCATAAACTGAGTGTTTCTTAGCAAAAGAGAAATTGGCAAGAGGGTGAAAATGGCTGTTTACCTATGGGTGTTTGATAAGGATGTTACTGCCGATACCTAATTCTCGGCCAACCTCTCTTTGTGGGTTCTGGATAGCAAAAAAAAAATTTGTGGGGGGGGGGGGGGGAATGCCCCTAACAAACATGTCTTAACCAGAGACTAATCATGGGTTTGTCAGGCCAAACGGCATAGATTTGGCAGCCTAGCTGTAAAATGTAAACCAGAAGTTTAGAACACATAACAATGCATCAACTGCCCTCTTAATGGCAAATGCAGAAGATGAAAATCCTCTCTCCTTTTTATCCTCTGCCTACCCCATCCGAAAATTTACAGTTGTTACAACGCTCTCCGGTTAACCTAACCCCTTGTCCAGAGAATCCCAAAAACTAGGTTCGTTAACAATCCTCTTTTTACATGTAATGAGGTGATGACAAAATGTTTTCCCAAATACCTTCAAGGCCTGCCTTCTGCCATCTTGACTGAGGTCAAGGGGAGTAACTTTCACAATTTCTTCCGGGATCACTGATTGTTTAAATATACTTTCTATTGTTACATAAAGTATGGAAGTATTGCATATTGTGTTGTGGTTTGAGATTTAAACAGCGGATCTACATCATGGCACACGGGTAGTAACCCATAAGTGCTCCGTTCTTCTTCTAACTAAAGTCTGAGCCCGAAGAACAGTGCACAGGCTCTGTAGTACCGGCGAGGATCCTAAAATATTTTGGGTATATTTTTTGGAAATATTTTAACTCTACATTTTTGCCCAGCAGCGCCGTTTGACACAAGGCACTAGTTCGCTGACAACAGGCCACCCACAGTTTTCAGAATCTACAGTTGACAAAAGAAACCATGTTGGGTACAGTCGATAAACCTTCAAAACAAAATCCTACTTGTGGCAACAATAAGTAGAGATACCTTAGAGTGGCTTCTCTTTTCGAATTCCAACTGCAAAGGGATTTTTTTACAGGCGCAACAATGCGCACGGGTGTCCGATCTCACTACCAGGTGCAGTGCCGGGTTCGGAGCCTCGACAGAATCCACCCCCAGCTACTGGAGGACCTCCTGACCGTCTTGTGGAGTCAGGAGACGGCGGAGGATAGCTACTAACCAAAACCAGTTAGACAAAAAAGATCCCAAATTGCCTTTTGTCATAATACACTGGAATGCAGAGGGGGTCAGCAGTAAGCAGGCTGGCTACAGCAAAAAGTTGGAGCTGGAAAACATCCTCTATGAAAAGCATGTCAGTGTATGCTGCATCCAAGAGACCCATTTGCAGGCAGATCAGATATTTAAAGTGAGAGGCTACCAGTGCTTCAGATCTGACAGACAAGGCAGGCAAAAAGGAGGAGTACTCACCCTTGTGAAAAACAGTATCCATCCATGCGAGAAAATGTCTTATATGGATGTAGCTGAGTACCAACTCCTGCAGCTTAAGACAGACAAAGTGGAATTAGACCTCCTTAATTACTACTGTCCCAATGACAAATCGCTAAACCTCAGCTCTGTGCCAGTACCAAATACCAACTTTATTGCAGTTGGAGACTTCAACAGTCATTCACAGAGCTGGGGCTATAACCATCTCGACAATAGGGGTGAAGAGGTGGAAACATGGCAAGATGACCACTCTCTGATCCTGATCAATGCCCCCTCAGATACTCCTACCTTCTACTCCAGAAGGTGGCAGACAACGTCAACCCCAGATATTGCCTTCTCTACCCCAGATATATCTGGAATGATAAGTAGAGAGGTGGGAGACCAGCTGGGGGGCAGTGACCATCGTC